CCACAGGCCTGCTCTTTCCCCAAAATGACAACAGTGAGGCTTCCCCTGAGGAAATCCCAAAGGTCAAAATAAGGAACAGAATAAACCCATCTGCTTACTCACTTGAAGGGTGCTTCAGCGACAGACTTGGTGAACATACTGGCAAAATCACTAAGGTCCTTCCAGTTCTCAAGGCATCTAACCTGGATGCCTGTGTGAAGCTGCAGATCTACCAAGGCCTGCAAACACAGGATGATCAGGAGTGAGCGGGGGAAACACCCTTTTCCAGTGTAGGATGCTGCCCCAATCCCTCAGCACAGCCAGCTGGAGGACAAGAGTCCTCCCCTCTATGGGCTCAGCTAGCTTAATGCACTAAAAAAATATAGCTTAGGATCTACTAACAAACAGGCACTGCAGACTAACATAATTCTTTGTTAGTTGTCATAGATTAGCTCTTCCTCCCCATTCTGCACCACCTATCCATCCCCTTGTTACCATACTGACACACTCCAGTTTGGCTTGTCTGCTGGTCTATGAAGGAGGATGGGCGTTAGGCATGGCATCTGGAACCAGCAGACATTTTGGTCTCTTAGGGAGGGCAGCCAGGTGTGCAGCTTTTGGTTGGTATGCAGAGCTTAGCCTGAACAGCTGCACTTGCAAACAGGGGTTAAATGCTTGCCCCAGAGATGGTTTTCTCAGGCAAAACCTGAAATTGAGAGAACTTGCAAAGGAGAAGGTTGCTGCATTCCTGCTCCAAGGTTACCCACTTCTTCTACATCCAGCCTGGACACCTCTGGCCCAGAAGCCTCCTTCTGTCTTTTCCGTTTCCTCTGTCCTTCCTTTTGGCTTCCATTTGGCACTGCCTGTCGTGGCCTCTTCTGTGACTGACCTTTGTGAGACCTGAGAAAAAGACCCAGAGGTCACCTTTGGCTCTAGTCCCAGCTGACTGGGGGTAGTCCGCAGCTACCCCAACACCAGCCTCCCCTGACAGAAGAGGATAACTCTGGTTACAGATGCTCCCAAGACCCAGCCTTTACCAGTATGAAATGCAATAAGCAACAAAGCAGAAGACCAATGTCATTCTGCGTGTAGCCACTGGCAGCACTTCTGCTAAGCTCACCAGAAACCTCTGCAGTAAGAATTCTAACCTTAGGTATTTCTCTAGTTCTACTACAACCAGTGCCAGAGTCTTCCCAGGAATCTTCTCCATGACACGAGCCACAAAGCTCCGTAAAGTCTCCTTCTGTCTGTCTGTGCTAGACTGGACTTCCTGCAAAGGCACCTGCAAAATGCCAGTTAAACCCTTTAAATCACACAGGCTAGGTCACAGTAGGAAAAAGGTAATCTCTGGTTCCTGTACTACTAGAAAATCATATCCCTTGGACAGACGAAAAACAGCTGCATTCCAAGGTCACCTTCCACTCCCACAGCAGAAGTGGTTCTATTCATGTCAGCATAAAAGGTCAGGCAACATTTAACATTCACACAGGCTAAACAAAGATCATTACATTAAAGTACACAGCTCCTCACCTGTCTGTAGTTGTAGATCATGGACACAAACTCCTCTGTATGAAGCAAAAGAAGGACGTTGGGTTCTTCTGTCCAGCTCTCTTCTTCAGCCTGCCCAGAAATGAAGACAGCTAACATTGAATCATTAGTCCAAAACAGTTCCGTTCTGATCCTAGCTGCAATGATGCTCAGGTTTACAGCCACTCATGGCCACAACAATTTAGGAGGCAAGAAGATGGAGCTGCTCAGGATGGTGATAATTATTGCCCAGGCAGCATCCATTTCTTAGTAATCAGAGAGAAAATATGCATGAGACTGAGACCACTGAGGCTGCAGGGAGCAGAGAAATGGGCCAACTAAGAGGAGAGCACTAAGAGGGGTTGGTAGAAAGCAAAGGTCTGAGAACACAGATAATCTATCACAGGTTTATCTGGCATTAATATATGGCATCAAACTACTTTACAGAGAACCAATGCTAGAGACATCAAGGGGAAATGCCAAGGAAGCCTGAAATGCAGGGAGCAAACTGCAAAGCAGAGGTATCAGCTAACACCTCTGGGGAACAAGGAGAAGAAACTGAAGTGTTCGTGTGGGGAAGTATGGGGTCACCAGCTCACAAGTACAGTGGGAAGTGTGCTGGAGAGGAGCATGGATATCAGCAAGGGACCCTGAAACAGATTTCAAGAGGGATAGGATGTCAGCAAAAGTCACAGAGAAGGCAGGCAAAATGGTTCCAGGTCCTGGAAGAACAGCATGCCAAGTGCACGTTAAGACCTAGAGAAGGATTTTAGCTAGTGCAGAAAGGGAGGCAAGGCAGCAACAAAGATTTCAGAAGCAGCAAGGCCAAGAGGAGGAGACCATTTTAGGGACCATTCCAAGAGATTAAAAAAAAGGAACACGGTTCATTGAGATCAAGGAGACACGTCAACATTTCTGCCCTTGCAATCAGGGTTAAAAGTTTTGAGTTTCAGGGACTTTGGAGACATAAAATGAGATTTTAACACAGGAGAATGACTGATTCAGAAGCACCCCAGCATGAAGTTATGGGTTAACCACATGGCTAATGGAACCACAGCACTTTGCATTTCTGAGTAAACAACTGATGGGTGCCTATAGCTACAGGACAAGAAACCCTCACACCCAGCACAGAATGAGAGAAACCAGAAGCATCAAGGCAGCTGCCCAAAACGACCTGTTTTCTGTATCTATATAAGTAAGGTTATTTTGCTGTGATGCAAAATAACTACACAGCTTACCACATGGAAGGGGGGGACTGGCTGTAACAAGAGGCACAGAGGCAGCAATTCTGACTTTGTATTCCCCTGAGGCATTCATTACACGATGGTATTCCCCAGCTGCTCACCACGACCAGCTCTAGGTCCCTTTTGTGTTACTGGAGCAGTACAAAGAAGAACTAGTGCGGGCACAAGCCAACCCAAATCATTTGGTCATCTTGTTTTTGATACCCGCTTCTTGGTACTTTAAGCAACCTTGGAACAAGCCGAGGCATCTGCAAGCTGGGGAAAAGAAATCCACTTCAGGCTTTTAAAGAACAGTGTGGAAAAGCATTTTAAAGAAAGCTTGTCCATTCCCATGGATTTTATTGACAGACAAAATGGTACAGCTGCTCTGGTATGTGGGCTAGGACTGTTCATCCTCATGCTGAGGGATAAACTCTACACAGCTGAAGCTTAAATAACACAGAACACGTCTTCCATGGTAAGTAATCAAATGGGGGTTGAACTTGGGGAAGTCTTCTTTGATCACAAATATTTGAGGGTAAGGCAAAAGCCAGTCTGTCAAGGACTGAATCAGGCCACCAGAGACAGTCCTCATTTACCATCTGAGGTCTACTCCCAAATGTGGGTTGAAAATAAGATCTGTGCTTGATGCCAGAATCCAGCCCTAAGAGAAATGAGACTTTGAGGTCTTGGGCCCAAACACAACACCTATTTCAAGGCAAGAGGCACCACCATGATTTGGTTTTAAGGTTCATCAATGGCTGCTCAGCATCACCTAGTCCTTTAGCACATAGTGTATCACATAGCATGGAAGCAAAGCCACAGGCCTACTTTTTCCCCAAAATGACAACAGCGAGCCCTCTCATGAGAGAATCCCAAAGGCCAAAACAAGGAACAGAATAAACCCATCTCCTCGCTCACTTGAAGGGCGCTTCAGCGACAGACTGGATGAATGTACTGAGCTGCTACGGTCCTTCCAGCTCTCCAGGCATCGAGCCCAGATGCGTGCGAGATGCTGTGGAGCTCACAGGGAGGGTGCAAGGGGAAGGCGAGAGCTTCCCCTGCACTTGTGCATTAGGAATATTTCCAAGGCTATGTCTGAATCCGTGCAGGTTTCACTCGCCCTTGGCTTTGTGGCTTTTGGTCTTCTCAGGCAACTGCCTGAATATTAGGCCAGACATGTCAGTTCCTCAGCTCCTCGCAGCTGCAGGTGGGAGCCGGAGGCGGCAGGAGATGAGGCATTTCCTTGGTCAGTGTGGGCAGCGCTCCCAGCTGCCAGCCCTCAGGTGTTCCCCCGCCCCACTCGCTCAGCAGCACCGCCCTCAAGAAGCTCACGGGCTGCAGGGCAGACCCCCACCCAGGCTCAGCCGCTGCCCCCGCCCAGCCTGCCCGCTGGACGTGACTCCGCTCCCCATGGATGCCTGGGCCCCTGAGCAGGGGCCTTGGGGGTGCCATACCTCAGTGGGCCCCGCTGCCCTCCTCCTCCAGGACATGCTGCCCGCCACGGGCTGAGGCTCGATGGCACAGATGCAGCCCAGGGCCTGCAGGGCGCTCAGCACCTGCCCTCCGCCATCTGCCTGCAACAGAGCTGAGGGGGCGTCAGGGGACGGGGAGGCCGGGCCAGCCTCAGGGGACGGGGTTGGGGGGTGGTGTCAGGGCAGTGTCAGGGGCCGGTACCTGGGTCCAGCACGGCCGCCACCTGCTTCAGGCTGTCCTGGTCCCGTGGCTGCCCCCG